TTTTTATTTCCCTCAAAACACTTATCACCTTTTCACATCCAACATTGAATACTGTTTGCCTTTCTAACTTAAGTTCATGAAGGCAGACATTTCTCTAGTTAATTTAATCAAACCTCCTTTATCTGAGCTCACAGTAGACACCAAAGATGACTTGAATTAATGATTTCTCACATAATGCAAGTATGCATAGGCACATGTGCACACACGCATATACTTGATATCTTTCACTGGGTAAGAAATGTGATTTCACAAGAAGTCATTGGACTTTGACAGAATTTCAGAAGTGTTTACTAAATTCCTGTACCTAAGTGTCTAGTGCTTATAATGGTGTAGGGCTAGGATGGTGGTAGCAGATAAATCATAAGGAGGAAGAACTGCTGATGGTAGTAAGTGCAGAAGAACTCCACTAGGGGTGGGCCTTGTGGTGCAGTGGCTTAATCAACATTTGGGATGCCCACATCCCATATCAGATTGTCAGTTTGAGTCCAGGCTGCTCAGCTCCGTGCTAATGGATTCTGGGAGGTAGCAGATGATGGCTCAAATACTTGGGTTCCTGCGATCCACGTGGGAGATGTAGAGTTCCAAGCTCCTGGCTATGGCCTACCCCAGCTCAGGCTGTTGTGAGCATTTAGGAGTGAACCAGTGGATGGGAGATCTTTCTCACTGTTTCTTTCTTGCTCTGCTTTTCAAGTAAATGAAAATAAATAAACAAACATACAGACTTTTTTTAAAAACTGCAGTAAGCACTCTACCCTCAGATAGCTATTCTCAAGTCTTGAGGGGAAACGTAACACATATGGGGATACTTCAGAAAGTTCATGGGAAATGCATGTTCTGAAACACTATGCATGCATTTCACACTTTTTGCACCAAAATAACCTTTCAATTCTGTTTTTTAAAACTTTTTAAAGTACCCATGTATGTTAATTTTTTAAGAAAAATACTAGAAATATATCTATTTACATATAGATATATACACATGCCAAAAGGAACAGTAATTCATGTACAAGTCAAAAAGAGCCATGCTATTGGTGAACTAGAGCACCGTTGTCTTTGAGGAAGAAGCTAAAAGCAGAACTTAATTATTTTATATTTTTTGATACTATTATTTATTTTTAAGCACTAATGTCATACCAGGTACAGTGGGGAATAGTAATCTGTGATGTTTTTAAAAATTCTTTCAAAAAAATACAGAATCACATTTTTATTGTAAAACTTTAGCAAAAGTTCTACTTTGGAAATGTATATTTATTAAATAAAAGTTGAAAAAAAAACTTTAGCAAATTCAGAAATACTAAAAGACGGAAATAATTGTTTAGATCTCAGAAAACTATTCCCATAGGGTTCTTCCAAATTTATGAATATTTCCCTTTACAAAAAATTTAGGCCTTTTTTTTTTTTTTTTTACATTTGCCTCCTTAAAAATGAACTAAAGGCCATGAATACACCAGTAGGTTCTGTGGCAGAAGTTGACATCCATTTGTAACAGGCACGTCCTCCACCAAAAGTCCCTTTGTTTCTATAGTTATCCAGATGTCGGGTTTTTGCTTTGTTTTGTTTTGTTTTGTTTTGTTTTTGCCAAAAGAGCCATAGAGGAAAATGTATATGTTGAGGCAGTGAGATTTAAATATTACTGTGCTTTGGATTTAGAGAACCTCTTTCTTCCAGAAAGATAATTTTCCATAATGCATATAATCTTGTGTTCTTCTCTTGCTGGACTGAAAAGCCCAGTTTTTATTAAATGATGAAGCCCAAGAAAGGAAAGGTGAAATGACTTACACAGAATCATAGAACTTCTAAGAAAAGCACCAAATGTTCTCTTTGCTCAATATTTCATCCAATATGGAGCCGTGTTGGAGATTATCTCTCATAATTATAAATCGTCGCATCATTCCATCTCATACTAATGACAAAGGAAATGAAGAGATAAATTTAAAACTTAACCAGGCTTTAAATAACTTTTTTTGCCTTTAAATCTGAAGATGAGAAATATTTTTAGAGGATGAGAAAGTGAATGAAGCAGTTCCAGACCTTTATCTACAGAAACAATATTGTGTGTCTCTTGTCTTGATCTCTTAGGGAACACTTTTAGGAATGACTATAATTAAATATTGTGAATACAAAAGGAACATTAACTTTACAGCAGGTGAAAATAACACAATAGTATGTAGCCCAAGTAAGAGTAGGGGAGACAGCTGTTATATTTGGCCTACTGGAAACAATATAGATTTTCCTTCCAACTCAGCAGAAATGTAGCTTTAAGATCATAATCGCAGCTCTCTTTTCTGTTTGGAGATCTAAAGTTAAAGGTAGCTGGGCCAGTTTAATATCGGTCTGCCTGTAACTGACCCAGCAGTTGGTTACATTCCGCTCCTGCTAAGGCTGCCACTTTGATTCTAAGAGGACATTGATTCTTGGCGTTGAATGTGTGACCTAAAGAACATGGATTATTTCAAAGGCTTCTTCTGCCTCAGCAGATAAATTGCATTATTAGGGGATGTTGAGAAAGCAATACAATGTGAACTGCTTCCTCTTTTTTTTCTTTTTCCAGTTGATTTTCATTACCTAATTTCCTTTCTTTTCCCTCTGTAGTGGGAATTGTTCACACTTTGAAAAATAATTTAATTTCTTCTTTCTGGACCCATTAACATCCTATACTTGTGTTTGATGTTTTTTCATGATACAGAAAGGGAATCTAAAAGAGAAAAATATAATAAATACCATATTTATTGGAGTTTGAAATATGGTTGCTCACTTTAGCCAATATAACTTCAAATAGTTAAAAGCTTGGAATATTTATTTAATGAGTTCATATGCCTGAAAACTAAAATTTAGATGTTTGAAGAAAGTGAGGAAATGAGTTTTAGTATTTTTTTCTTAGCCAGAACATTGCAAATTAAGGACATTGTTTACTAGATCATTTTCTCTTAACTAATGAAATTTATGTTTCTCCCAATTTGCTTTCCCCATAAATATTTCAGAGATTAAAATATACTATATTATCATATTCAGTCTCCTGTATTTTCTCATTTGATATCTGAGGTTTTGGTACTTTCATAGCTAATTGGCAGAGGAGAGATGAGATTTTCTTCCGCCTTCACCAGTCCCTCTCCCCACCAGCCTCGCGCCCCCTGCTTAGAAGGCACCTAACTTGGTAATCACCTGTGAAGGCATGCTCTTGAATCTGCAGGTCTTGCTGATCACTGTGCTCCGGCAAGCTGATTTGCTTAAATTCACTGCTTTGTGCCATTCTCATGAATCTGAGCTAATTATACTGCCATTTCTCAGAGATGTGCGTTAGAAGTCATGTGTGCCTAATTCTGAAAATGGCTTTGTACATTAAGCCTCATTTAACCACTGATGGTTGGAGAGAACTTGAGAGACACAGTTACTGGTCATAATTTTAAAATGCAGTAATAACACAGAACTCTCTTGTACTGCAGGCATATGAGATGCATATTGTGAACCTCTGGGTCATTAGAAATGCTGTAATTTGGCTTACATCTTACTGGTCGAGATGTCACAGAGAAGATAGGGTCTAGTCATGGAAAAGAAAACCGGGGTCCAGCGCGCAGATAGGAACAGGGGAAGCACTTGGCAGTTGGGTTTTCCCAGGAAGGATTGATTTGTGTGCATTACTGGGTCTGTGTAAAATGGTGTCCTTTTGGCACTAGCTGAATATAAATTTCAATAAATGTTTGTCTTGCTGCAGATTAGTGTAATACAGTGAAATTTTCTGTAACTGAGGGGAGACAGTGGTTGGGCGTCTGTTAATAGCCTGAAAGTAACTAATGAGGATGTGCAGTGGGAACAATTGATTGAATGGCTGCAGTCCTGTGTGTTTCTCGCTTGCTCTCCCTGCAAGCTGTAGAGAGGGAGGGGGAAGAGCAAGACACAGGGAGGGAGCGAGAGAAAAAACGCTTTCTCTGAAGTGGAAGTAGCACGGATCCCAGGGGCCAGGAGGCCAGAAATGGAAGTTTAAACTGCATCTGTCTTTTAAAGGGAGAACAGCAAGAATCGAAATGTCAGTCTCCGGAGTCACGGCTTACTCCTTATTTTTTAAGATATGGAAGATAACACAGAACACTTTTTTTAGGATGTATTTTTTTTTTCTTGTTCATGTTGAGATTATCTAATGTTATCTGAGAAGCTGGATTCCTATGTGTCTGTCAGTTGAAGTGGAGATGGGAAGCAGTTGTGATAAAGGTATAATATGTGTATATCTATCATCTGTGTGTGCGTGTGTATGTGCATATATATAGTGTGTATATATTTATCACTGTGGAAAAAAGATCTTAAAATGTACTCTGAATACAGTATATAGTAATTAAATCGGAGAAGATCACAGTATCTGTGAAGTCCTAAGATTATTAGGTCAGTTTGAATAGATTCAGGATTCCAGAGTAAGATCTTAGTAAGGTCATATTGCCTGAGCAAGGAGAAGCTGGTCTATTTTTATATCTGCATAGGCATATATATTACTTTATCCTGCCAGCAGCTTACACTCCTCTCATAGCCCTTTTGTTGCAGTCTGGTGAATCATCTTCTCTCTCTCTCTCTCTGCATAGAATTGAACTTTGACCTGACCGTCAAATCATGTGCAACACTAGACTTTATTTGGTCCACAAGAATATTAGAAATTTCATTTGATTCTGTTAACTCCTCCATTGCTAACAAATGGAGGAGTAGGTTTGAACAGTGAGATACAAATATTTAGTGAACTTAAAGATATTAAACTTAGAGGAAATTAGTTTTTAAATGCACACAGGTGAAGACGGAAGCTGTCACACTTAGAGCAGGTTCTGCGCTGTGACCAAGTCTCTAGCATTGTGACACTTCAAGCACCCCAGAGAGAGACAAATTAGTTGGAGAGAGACCGTAAAGTACTTTTAAAGCAAACTGATTCTTTTGGTAAAAAGTGAATAATGTTATAATTTGGTGAACGCTCACAAATTACCGGTTCCTGTTGATGTTTGAACTTTTTCCTCCTCTTTTTCCAGAGGTGCCGGCAGAAAGGTCCCCCCGCAGACGGAGTATCTCAGGGACCAGCACATCAGAGAAACCCAACTCCATGGACACTGCCAATACCTCACCCTTCAAAGTACCAGTGAGTGTTTGCTCTCAGTTAACACTGTTCTCTTCTGTAGTCCAAGCATTTTGCTTTGTAAGAGTTTCTTTATAATACTGAGGTTAAAGGACAGTGATCAGCTTGCATGGATTAACTGTGGTTAATATGCACTAGTTTCAGCATTATTAGGCTTATTAAAGTTTTCGGGAGTATTTTTTTACTTGTGAGGTTATTTTCAAAAAATATTCCTCGATACATTAAATTCAAATTCCTCCAAACTGTAGTGTGTAAATCTTTTCAGATATCTTTTTACCAAGTTGCCAGCTAAAACCTATTACAATTCTGTAAAGATGCTCTTAGGACTGTTAGTTTTTTAGTGATGAAAGTGTGATTTTGTTTAATTTTCCAACTGGATTGTAAGCAGTTTGGTTAGACTTGTAAAGCTGCAGAGCACAGCCACAAAGAATTGGGCAATTGTGAATTCTAATTCTGAGTCCTGGCTTATGCTTTGCTTAAGCCATTTTTTTATTTTATTTTTAAGATTTTATTTAGTTTTGTTTTTGAAAGGTAGAGAGAGAGTGCTCCCCCACCCACCAGTTCACTAAACAAATGCCCATAGTAGTCCCAGCTGGGGCTGAGTCAGGAGCCAGAAACAGTCCAGGTCTCCCTCGTGGATGGCAGAAAACCAAATTACTAGAGCCATCACTGCTAACTCCCGGGGTCTGCGTTACCAGGAATCTCCAATCAGGAGCAGAGCCAAGTATCGAACCCAAGCACGCCAACGTGAGACGTGGGCGTCTTAATTACTAGGCCAAATGTCTATCCTAAGCCATCTTTTAGAGGACCACATAAGAAATATCAGGAAAGATGGATACTGCCTAAACTGACCAGCTGGTACTGAGAGTCGACAATAATATGAAAGAATGATGAAATGGAAGGGTTAGGGGATTAGGACAGCTGACTACCAGTTGCAGGCCTAGTTTGGTCCTTTTTGGTGTAACTCTGGGCAACTTGGATTTTAAATCATCTCTTTTATTTGTTCATTGGGTGAGAAAAATACTTCCTGATCATATATTATTAAAATGCTTTGTTTTACACTGGAATTGCGTTGTGAGGTTGGTCATTCTAGATATAGTGAAAATCAGTATAAAGTAGAAACAGACTTTTCTATTTGTGAGGAAAAAGTTCTCTCAATTTAGCCAAGTTAATATGGTGTGTTCTTTATTACAATACTTTTATTTTTAAGTTGGGGTGACCTTTTACATGGAACTGATTTTTTTAAGGCATATGAGCCCATCTTCATTTGTGAGTTAACCAAAATGGGTGTTTACTTGGCATTAACCCTAAAGAGCAAGATTTCCACTTGTTTTTTTTTTTTTTTTTTTTTTTTTTTTTTTTTGACCGGCAGAGTGGACAGTGAGAGAGAGAGACAGAGAGAGAAAGGTCTTCCTTTGCCGTTGGTTCACCCTCCAATGGCTGCCGCTGCAGCCGGCGCACCGCGCTGATCCGATGGCAGGAGCCAGGATCCAGGTGCTTTTCCTGGTCTCCCATGGGGTGCAGGGCCCAAGCACCTGGGCCATCCTCCACTGCACTCCCTGGCCATAGCAGAGAGCTGGCCTGGAAGAGGGGCAACCGGGACAGAATCCGGCGCCCCAACCGGGACTAGAACCCGGTGTGCCGGCGCCGCAAGGTGGAGGATTAGCCTATTGAGCCACGGCGCCGGCTCTCCACTTGTTTTTAATCACAGGTCATTATAGAGTTTGTGGCTGTTACTTTGACACCTTCCAAATTTTTAAAAATTTTTCTCACTTTTAAAGACTGTTAGATTTATATTCCAGCCAAATTATGACAGGAACTTTAAGATATCAGATCTGCTGACTTTTATTAATTTTTTAATTCAATATACGTTGCTACCTGTTTTTAAATTTTTTCATGAGTGAAAAGATATTTTTTCCCATCTTCTTCTTCCTGATGATGCAAGGATCATTATAATGGAACTAACCATGTACAAATTTTGCTGAAAAAGAGTGAGATTTAGAAATTTTCCCACTATTGTGCTGAAAGCAAATAGTGTGAATTCTTAAAACTTTTTAAAAAGTCAATAACTGAAGAAGAATGTGCATCTGAAAAATGCTAACACTGAAGTGGGTCCTATATTGAGTCTAAAGTTCCTGACCAGCCTTTTACATTCAAATTAAGAACTGTAATTTTCATTTATATTTGAACAGTAAGTTGACAGTCTATCTTAGTCATCACCGTGGTCATTACTGATGAAAGTCACGGTGCGTTGGTGGGTGTATGTGAGAGCCAGCGCTGCTGACAGACTTACAGTCCAAGTCCTCAGTGACCTCAGGAATTCAGGAATTGTGAGGGAAGGAGAGGGCCTCTCCTAGCGAACTGCATTCCCAATGCCCATGTGCTCAAGAGCCACGTGCTTAGCTCTCTGGAAGCATTAGCCATTCCTAGGCTCTCATCTAGACAGTTTTCTGAAAAAATAAGCATCAGAGCTCACTGTTGGCATCATCATCAACAAAAAAATGACAGGGGGAAGGCAGAGAAAAGGTAAAAGGCAGGGTTAAAGGCAAACAGCCTTTATTTATTAATAGCCCATAGGGTACCATTGCATTCCAGGGTAATGTGAGTACAGAAATGGACATTAATACTAATGATCCTGAATCAGCAACAAGTGAGATTGCATTTGTTGTACTAATTTTTAAAATGAAACTATAGCATTACATGGTATATATCCACTGAGAATATTTAAAATCTTGAAGCTATATAATGCAAAATGTTATTCAGAAAAGTCTGATTTGTGAAGATACCTTATTCCTGATTATACCAAGTAAAGAATTTATATTCTTTTAAGAGACATTAAAATATGCTGGTAAATGAAGCTCTGCAGTATTTAGTTATCTGAAGTACATTGTATCTTTAAAATTTCCATATAATACCAATAGCTAATACGACTTACATCGCTTAAATATGTTGTTGGTTAGATAGATGTATGGCTAGTTTTCAGATCAACCCAAAATATTTATAATTAATAACAGCATACTCTTTGAATATGGGGAAATAATACAAAGCCAATTTTTGAGATATTTAAATTTGTTATTTATACATTATCTCAAAGATGGTCTCCATGTTTGCTTTATGAAGAGGCAGAAGTGGCATTTCAGCACATGGACTAGTGGTTCTAGGATTCAGGTGTTTGTACTGTGGTAAACAGTACATGAACCAGACTCCCAAAATAACATAGTTAGTGGACTGCCAAAAACAGCCTTATTCCTCCCAGTCCCATTCCAGACTTACTGAAAGCACATGAGACAGATTTGAACAAGTCCTGATGGGGATTATTTACAGTGACACACTTATTGAAGGCTTGATTTGGGCAAAGTATTGGTGATTCACCACTTATTGATATCTTCTTGGCACATTGTGCTTGCGACTGGGGAAACAGAAATGAGCACAGCAAAATTTTCCACTCCCTGGGAGCCTGCAGTCCAGTAGCAGAACCTGGAAAAAGGTCAGGTTCATCAAGTGGCAGGTAAGCCTGGTCATGTAAGTTTTTGCCAACACAGTGTATAAGCTAAGGCTTTTCCAAGGAACAGTACTGGAGCCGAGTTTCAAAGGCAGAAAGGAGAGAATTGACAGGGGCAGAAGAGTGTTCCAGGCTGAGGAATGTTGGCATTTCGGAAAGGCACACATCCCGAGAGGACTGATGCTCTTAAGGAAAATAGAAAGGACAAAGTAAGTGAGACAGGACTTGGAAGTATGTGGGAGACAATGGCAGGCACAGCACTGGAAAGGTAGACGGGCAAGATTGTGAGTGGGTTTGTTTGTTGGGCTCAACTAAATTGTACCAACTGCAAAAGTATCAGAGATATGCTTATTGTAATTTGTATTTGGCTCACAAGCTAAGCCAAGTTGCATAAATACTGTGGAGTATTGGTAAATTAGTAGACTTTTCCTAAGTGACTCTGCCTTCCTCTTTCTGTCGCTCTCTGAACACAGAGTGATTTGTGAGAAGCCAGCCTAACCCCCCTATCCCTGGCCCTTCAGCTGACACTCCTGGTAGCTCTAGAGTGGCCCTAAGCCTTAGGGAGATCTGGGAGGAACCAGTGGATAAGGGTTTATGCTGTTGGGTGACGCCAGATACAGCCGAAAGAAGATGCACCTTAGCAGGAGCTGAGGCAGGGAAGCCTAAAAACCTTTGTACATCTCCTCATTCACAGAAATTTATACTTTTAAAAGCAGAAACTAGGTAATTAGTATAGCAGGCTATTCATGTGTAGAAACATATGAAATGAGAGAAAAAGAAGGAATTTCAATGGCTACCAAACCTATAAGTTAAGGCGAAGTCTCATTTTTTACTTTTATCTACTCAAGTGGAAAAGCAGTGACCTACAGGATTTTATTTTTAATTTTTTTTTGTTTTAAAGATTTATTTATTTGAAAGGCAGAGTTACAGGGAGAGAGAGAGAGAAAAGAGGAGAGGAGAGGAGAGAGAAGAGAGAAGAGAAAAGAGAAATCTTCCATCCACTGGTTCACTCCCCAAATGGCCACAATGGCCGGAACTGGGCCTATCCAAAGCCAGGAGCCAGAAGCTTTTTTTGGGTCTCCCACGTGGGTGCAGGGGCCCAAGGACTTGGGCCATCTTCTGCTTCTTTCCCAGGCCACAGCAGAAAGGTGGATCGGAAGTGGAGCAGCTGGGACTCAAACTGGTGACCATATGGGATGCCGGCACTGCAGGCAGTGGCTTTACCTGCTACACCATAGCACTGACTAGTATATTTTTTATGTTTTTCCTGTACTCTCATTCCATATTTCTTCCCGTATACTTTAATCCCAGGTGCAATGATTTTTTGTAGGTCTCTGTCCATCCTTAGACAATGAGTATCTGTTCTAATCATCCTTGTAGCCACCCCAGTATTTAATTCAGTACCTCACACATAAAAATCATTCAACAAATAATTGGTTTAATCAATAAAATATACATAAATTATTGAAGGACCAGCATAGAATAAGATTATCTTACATTT